AAAAATCAACGTTTTGTAAGCTTAATGTTTATAATTGAAAACTTAAAAAAAACTTTCTTTAAGTTTATTTTGCTTGTTGGGTAGTTATTTAGAAACACACTCACACAAGACGAGGGAGGCATTCTCAGTTTCTCAACTTTTGTTTGAAAATGCCACAAAACTACAAGAAATTCAAGTGCAATCAGGAAAGAACCAACGTAGTACTATGAACGTATTGTCCTAAAATAGGTTAGAATTGTGGTCGGCATGTTTTATACTGTTTGTATGTAGTATGTTTGTCAGCTTATTTTGAACACAACTACTAGCTATAATGACCAAAAGTGAAGGTCAGTGGGAGAACAAGAAACCTGAGTACAACATGTGGCACCGAGATGGCGTTACAATCAAGCAAACAATTGCAAATGGTTCAGCGCTTCCAAATAACAAACGTTCCGTGCGTCAAGTTTTTCTATTGCCGTTAGCTGTCGTACCATAGAAGCTAAAGCAAGTGGCCAATATGCTTGCATATTCATGAATGTATGTACATATGTACATTAGGGTGCATCACTCTACGTACCAAAAAAAAAATGTCGATACTTTTTTTCAATCGGAAATATCTAATTTATAATATTTTAAGACTTCCGGCAAAATATTTTTGAAAAATATTAAGACTTACGTGAGCTAGAATTATTTGAAATTACCTGTAAAAGTCGAGCTTTTATACATAAAAATAAAAGCTTATAAAAATGACACTGAAGATGGCACAATGCCGAAACCGGTTTGTCTGCAAACCAAACTTGACAAGGGATGACGGAAATTCGTTCCAAAATAAATCATAAAAAAATTGTTTTTTTAAATATTTTTTTAAAAAATCAAACTCAGATTTTAGAAGAGTTTAAGCTGAAAACGTCTTCTTAAAAATATGTACAAATTTTATAAAATCAAAATAATGAGATTTTTGAAGGTACATATTTTCAAACTGTCTAGCTCACTCGAATCCTGATATTTTTCCGAAATATTTTTTTGGAGGAAATCTCCAGAAGTAATAAATTTTATAATTCCGTTGGAAAACCCGCAATTTTTTTTTTGTAATGCACCCTAATGTACATTTGTTTAAATGTACAAATATATGTATGTATGCATGTAGGTGACGAATAAGTGGTTGCTCTGCCTGCTTATCTTGCCATCAGTTGTCACAACTGTTTACTTGAAGTATCCTTTTGTTGCGTTGTCGTTGCTTTTGAAAATTAATTCGGTCAGCTTTTCTTTCTCACTTTGGTTTTTAGGAGGGGATTGAAGATTGTTCATATATGTACGTATGTAAATGTAAATTATTTCACACCTGAACTAGATATATGTACATATTTATTACCTTACATACACAGTTGCCAAAAAAAATAATCGAACACCTATGTAAATTGTTGTATTTTTTTCTTGATTTAATTGAACTATAAGGATATAGAACTAATCAGTGCCGGATTAAGAATGTGGGCCCTGAGCCCGCTATACATATGGGCGCACCGTTTTGAGTCAATAATTACATACAATTAATTGGGGGAAAAATATATAGTTTAATTTTAAAAGTCTCGTTAATTATTGACCTTTTACCAAATATTTTCTTTCTGAAATTCTCGCCTGAATTCTTTGTAGTTGCCGCTCATGTTGCATGCAGTATTAAACGACTGACACCGGCATTCTCGTTTATGAACAGATATGGAATAGTGCGATTATTTTGTCCTTTTGATCCGGCTTATTATTTCTGCCTGTACTTTCTCACCCCTCAAAGTTATTATTTCCTCGCAGGTTGTTGAGGATAAATAATTCACGTGCCCGCGTCCCTTATTTCCGTATTCTTTGCTATGTCCAAGGATCTTTTTGAGCTATTAGTTCCAGCATCCCACGGAAATTTCCATTATTGGGTGAGTCGAGAATCTCACCAGAGCCAGAAGAAGCTAAGCTAGGTACCGCAAGATCTATTGATGGTGCTGACAAATCTTTTCTGTAATCGCTGAAAAATTATTTTTTTGTTCTTTCGTCATCAAATGTGGGGCCCGTCCGTCATTGTTCTTTGACTTAACTCAAAGCGAATTTCTATAACCACGCTCGTGCAGTAATCGGGACAACTTTGGTGGGGCCACATCGAATCATACGCTAAATAAAAAAGTTTCCAATTAAAAGGGGCCAAGGATCTAGTTGGTCGGAGGGTTTGGAACCCGCCACGTAAAAGTCCCTAGAGATATATGCAGGCAGGCCGATGAAGCGGTAGCGCATGATGAGGTCCTTTTACCATTTATCAATTGGGGTACTCCATTGGAGGAATCATGCTCTAGCGGCGGTATGCTGCTGTGCAATGAGCTGGAATTTATTCAGGGATGGATTAATGTAGAGCCCCTGTGTGGATTTTAAGCCGTAGCTTACTACCATATCAAAAATTACTCCGGGAGTGGATTGGAAGCGATGCTTAAAGCGCCGTGTGATAGCCAAGCTGGTTTGGCGTTGACCATGGCCGGAAATGCTAGCGAATTATCACTTCACTATGTTCAGCGAAGAGATATTTGAGAACTGCATACCCAATTAAAAACGAGCGAATTACTTTTAAATACAAGTGCGTGTGTGTGTTCGCAGATCTTTGTTTGTGCGGGAAGTGCAGAATTCATTTAATCATGGCCTAAACGAAAGAGGAAATCCCCTGGAGGCAACGGCTGAGTATTCAAAGCCTTCAGCAAAGAGCTGGTCTAAATTTGGCATCTCCGCTTAACTATTTAATAATAGCCGGCATCGATTCACCACTTCTCGCTCGCTCGCGTTTCGTTCGTTTCGCCACTCGCTAACTGTTGGCGAATCGATGACGGCTAATGATGTGCAGAGTGACGTTAGCCACAATCCAAAACCGATAGACACATCGCCTTTCATATTGGGCAGCACGTCTTCCCGTCGTTCAAGCCTAACCAGGATTTAGACCTCAAGCGTCATACGTGACACCAAATTTAAATCAGCATTTGTCACACACAAAAAACAACTCACAGTTTTATGATGAATCTGAATTGCAGGGCGGATGGTTCTCTTATGTGAAAAGCTTTTTTATATGTCAGAGGGTTGCCAACCCAGGTGACCTTGGTTGATTCCTGGCCAACCCGCATTACCGTCGTTTCGCCAATGATTCTTCTATTTCCCCAATCACCTTGCACTTTCGGCCATCTTCCTCATCTGCGGGAGGTACGTTGTAGTCAAGGAAGGCAGAAGGCTGTACTGTGCCAAGAATGATAGAATACAAGATTGCGCCGTCCTGGCAGCGAAGACATTTCTCAAGGAAAAGTAAAGTAAGCTGATGAGGAAGATAAAAGAAACTATCAAAACCGTAAATTTTCTTAATATTCAACTTTTCGATAAGAAACTTGGTTTCATTGTGTTAAATTGTAAATATATACGACTTGTAAAAAGAACTAATTTTTTGAAATTATAAGTGAATTTCAGTGCATAACCAAATTGTCAGTACCTCTTACGGCGCCACCTCTGCTTACTGCGTCGTGGTACTTCGCTTTCCAAAGCAATGGGCAGGAGTAGTTCGTCCGACCGTGGTCAAATCAATACGTCGACTCTCCACTGTCAGCTGCTTAAACTTTTTTAGCAGACCATTGTAACGAACTGATTAATCAACATAAGTGCAAAAACTATGAGAGCTTCGATGGAAAATTTTAACGCTTTCATATAGCACAAAACTTTTGTACATTTATAATAAAAATCAAAAAACTTGTAAAAAATCATTAAAATAAACATGTTTCAGCTGATAGCGGAAATCGGAAATTTAATTATCGATATATGTGCCATAACTATTTTTAAATGCAGCACTGCAAATTTTTCGTTTCCTCTTTTAACACTTTCGGAATGGTGATGCCGTATCGCAAGATTGTTTTTCATTTTCTTGGAGGATTTTAATAGGATACTAGCCGAAACCGAAAGTTATTTTGTTTCGTATGAACAACAAAGACTAATAATTTGAATGAAATTTCGCTTTTCCATAAACTTATAGGAATGGTGAACTTGCAGAATAATATACTAAAATTTTATGGATTACGAAATAGCATACCCAAATTTTTTTTTGATATTCTGATTGAAGAAACCTTTGATATTTTAATGCCCACATTTTCGAATGTGGAGAATTTTTATAACTCTTCTTGAAGATTTGAATACGAATATCTGGGTCAATGCAATAAATTTAGAGTTTTGGAGAAGATTGTTACTGTTTTAAGGTATTTTTCTAATCTACTGCATGGCATCACTCGGATCGGAAAATGTAAACAAATCTCCATCAGCTGATAATAGATAATACGGAAGCAGACACAAAGGAGTCGGTAATTGTTATTGCAAATTTTCTGCAGGACGAACAAGGAGTGGTAAAAGTGAATCACGCCTTTCTGTGGACGCAAAAAAGTGAAAAGCCATAAAGTAAAACATTTGTACAAAATAAATAATTATTTACAAATACATATGTGCATATTTGGTTTAACTGAGTTCAAAAATGCGAAAGTAGAAGAATCAATCGCTGCCAAACAACGTGTAGCAAAAAATTCCTCGAACTAGGTATATTTAATTGGGGAAACTATTTTAAAAACCTGAATTAATAAAAAAGAGGTAAGTGCCAGAAAACATCTCTTTCTAAAGTATTTTAATCGATTTTTTATTGTGTAAAATTGGTTTGCATAACTCTTGTTTCAGTTATTAGAATTATTGCAATGTCTATAACAATGCTGCATCGATTTTGTACCAAAAATGAAAAAACGCTTCACTGAGCTAGCGTTAAGCAATCGCATACATTTAATCATTCCTAACAAATGTTATCATTATCATATATGCGTTTTTATAACTACATAAAAAGCGAAAGTAATTTATATGGCACCATTGTATCTCTTCTGTTTATTTTCTTCCAATAGTTGCAGCATGCCTAGCTCATTGTTATTTGCCACCAATAGTGAAGGCCGCGTGTATACACTGTCAACCAATTCTTCCTCTTGGCGAGAGTTCCCATACTTGGGTTTAGAGTTCAAAAAAATTGCTGCTGTGCCACATTTTGTTTGGGCCATTGGTGGTGATCGTCAAGTCTATGTGTATGTATTTGGCTTAGATGTGCCCATACGCGTCAAAGAAGAGTCGTACGAGAATGAACGCTGGTTACCGATTGAAGGATTTTCGAAAAAGTTGTTGCCTACCGATCGCTATAAGTTCTCCTCAGCTGATGGCAGTGTGGAACGCAACATTGATAAGGTTAGGTTGCCATCAATGGCGTGGCAATGGGATGGAGACTGGCATTTAGATCTCGATATGGACGGTCAGCAGTTAGCGGAAGATGGTTGGATGTATGCGTTAGATTTTCCCGCTACATACTCGGCGAAGAATTCATGGAACTCGTATGTACGGCGTAGAAAATGGGTGAGTATTAATACGATTATTTAAATTGAAACAAATTGTATTTTATTAGGTACTTATTAAAAAAAAACTATTCTCGCAGGTACGTTTTCGCCGCTATAGTGCGCTGAACAGCTGGTGTGCCGTAGCGCCACTACATAAAGACCCCACACAAGAGCCTTTTATTGATGTTTCTGTTGGGGGCACAAATGTACCAAATGCACCATTGGGTACTATGATCGTGTGGGCTATCACTGCACACGGAAGGGTATGATTTACGTAATTTGTTCACTTACTATGCTAGTAAAACTAGTTTTTATTTTTACCATCCTTCAGGCAATGTTTCGCACCGGTGTAAGCACTTCTGCACCAGAAGGTCTTCGCTGGAATGCAATTAACACTCCTCCCGGCTGTGAGTTGGCACAAATAAGTGTTGGTCCGACTGGTCTTGTCTGGGCGGTACTATATAATGGACGCGCTATTGTACGTACTGGAGTAATGCGCGAAAATCTCTCGGGTGAAGCGTGGCTAGATGTCAAGCCTCCAATTAGCAGCAATGATTCGTCGAGCACACTCAAAATCAGCCAAGTCTCAGTGGGTACCGATACTGTTTGGTGTGTAACCAATGATAGCCATGTATGGTTCCGACGCGGTGTTAAAGGTGAAGCAGCTGGTATCAGCGAGGACGCTGCCATTGGCAGTGGTTGGGTAGAGATGATTGTGAACATATCGTCAATATCTGTAGCTCCTAATGATCAAGTTTTCGCTGTCGGTTCATCGGATCGTGCACTATACTTTCGCTCAGGCGTGTCCACTTCTGATCCGACTGGCAAGCAATGGCGGCAAATTCAGTGCCCTATGCAGATAAGTCGCACGTCTAGCTCCATGTCGATTGTGTCACGACGCAGTGGCAGTGGCTCAACACCCGGTTCAAAGCATCAGAGTTTCTCAAATTTGTATAGCAAGGATAAGGAAAAAGGTGTTGTGGAGACATGTGCACCCATTGAAAATGTGTCCGCCAGCCCTGCTTCCACGAATAGCAGCGCAACGGGTGCAGCAGCAGCGCAGGCGCGGCTCAAAAGTGACATCTGGAAATATTCCGCTGATTCACCGCCCAACATCGGTAGTTTGAATTTAAATGAGCGCCATAAGAAACGCACTTCTGCGATGCGAGAACATGCAGCACACGCATCCAGTGCGCCCGCGACCGAGGTCGTAACTGAAATCTCAGGCAAACACTTCGAAACTCAGCTAAAAAATCCGCGCGCCTGGTCACCAGTGCGTAGCGTTGGCTCCATAGTCGGCACAGAGGCACATCCGGAGAGTGATTCTGCCGTGTTCGAATCAGACTCAACACACCATGGCTCAGATGCATATCTGGGTGAGGATGAAGATCATGCTGGTTCGCAATTTTGGACCGAATGCGAGGTTATGTGGAGTTGCGTTGCAGCTGGTGGCGTAAGCGTTGATCCAGCAAATGCACCCAATTGGTTTAACGAGCAAGCATCTAGCAACGGCAGAGTAGATGTAGATGCAACATGGCGAAAAGATATTATTGGCAAGTTACAAAAACAAAAGGAGAATCTAAAAAAGTTGAATAACGTAGAAAAATACGAAAAGGCAGTCGAGCTGAGCTCATGGATTAAATCAGCGGAGGCACGTTATCAACGGCCCGGTGGAGAATTCGAAGATTGTTTAATCGAATTAGAATGGGTGAGTGGTGCAACGGGCAGTGCCGGTGCAACAGATGCCAGCACAACTATCGCAGACTCCGATTCCGGTACATTTACTGTGCTCAATCCAGATGGTGTTACTACAAAAATTCAGTTTTCACTGTCAGCTATCACATGTGTGCAGTGCTGTAGCGAGCCGTCTTCACCGCGTATCGCGCTGCACGCACCACGTTTGCCAATCAATTGTTCACCAATAAAACTGCAATTCTCCAGTGATGCCGAAATGGAGGATTGGCTATCTCATCTCAGTTCCGTTTGTTGTCAAATAAATGAAGTGTTGGGCAAGCCTGCGAACAATTCCATTTGGATCACCAGTGACCTAGGCGAAGTATTCGTTTTTGATCCACTCAATATGAAGGCAAATCAGTTGGACAAAGAACGCAATTGTTATGTTGAGAAGTTCGATGTGAATACAATGGAAACACCTTACTACAACACACTATATAATGGGTCGGTAAAAAAAAAAATACTTATATGTTTAATGCTTTGTTTATAATATATGTTTAATGTTACAGAATGCCTATCGGTACAGAACTGGAGGTATCTGGTTGTGTTTACGACGATGCAGATCAAATACGGTTTGATTTACAGTGCCATCCAAATATAAAGACACATCCCAGGGTGGAAAAATTCCGTGTCATTGCGATGCATATTAATCCAAGGTAAATAAAGTGAATGTGCAAACTTTCTTATTTACATGTAGTTGATGTTATATCAATTTTCATACCCAGATTCAATGAGAATACCATAGTTCTGAACAGCATGTGTGACTCAGAATGGCTTAATGAAATACGTAATGATAAAGTGGTATTCGCACCTGGTGCAACTTTCACGCTCCGCATCAAGTAAGCGAATTATTCCGTTGCCGAACATTCCCTTTAGAATGCCTTTAACTATATTCTTTCTTCTAACGCAGAGCTTTGGAACACCATTACCAATTGCATGTGAATAGCACGCACTTCGCCGACTACAAGTACCGCACAGATCCTGCCGCCGTGACTTGTCTTTACGTTAGCGGACGTGTAAAACTATTTAATATTGTCTATCGTTGTCCCTCGCTGATCATCTCTATGCAAGAGATGTATTGGCGTCAAATTGGTGGCCATATAAAACGTACATTTTCTTGCCATGCTGGCGTGGTGTGGGGCATTTCGTGTGACAACACTGCTTGGGTATACAATGGCGGTTGGGGTGGACAATTTCTGAAAGGACTAGAAGGTGGTTCTGGAAAAATTAATTCCATGGTTGATACGCATACCTACTATGTGTACGAAAATCAACGCTGGAATCCCATAAGTGGATTCACCACCAAAAGCCTGCCCACCGATCGACACATGTGGAGCGACGCAAGTGGTCGCCAAAAGCGCAGCAAAGAACACACAAAATTGTTGTCCACTCACTGCGAGTGGATAACAGATTGGATGGTGGATTTTAATATACCCGGCGGTGCGGATAAAGAAGGCTGGCAGTATGCTATCGACTTTCCAGCCACCTATCATGCTCACAAAAAAATCACCGATTGTGTGCGCAGACGACGTTGGCTAAAGAAATGCCGACTGACTAGTAGCGGTCCATGGCAGGAGCTTAGTCACTCGAAGATATTAGATGCCTCGTTACAAGTGCTTGGTGGTGATGCCGATAGCGCTAATAGTTTAAGCGATTGGGAGGATTTGCCCGTCTGCGCTTGGGCAGTGGCATCGAATGGGGATGTATTGATACGGCATGGTGTTACGCAACAAAATGCGCGAGGTGATAGTTGGGAACACATACCAAGTGAACAGCCGTTGATTGCAATTAGCGTGGGGCCAACGGGACAAGTATGGACTGTTGGACGAAATGGCATGATATATTTTCGTTATGGCATTACTAGACACAATCCATTGGGTGAGTTACGTTTGTATTCATACCTACACATGTATGTTTCCATAATAAATGGAAAATTCCCCGCACATAAGCAACGGAAGAATTCCGCACTTACTAGTTCTGAAACTTGTGCAATTATTTATTTAATTATACCTTTCACTGGTGCTTATATAAATGTATCCAAGCAGTACTTATATCATTTCAATCAACACAGGTGAAGCTTGGCAAATGGTGGAAACTCCTCCTGGCACAACATTCCGCACGGTATCTGTGGGGCACGCTGGTATTTGGGCTTTAGACAACCACAATCGCTTGGCTGTGCGCAAAGAAATAACTAAAACATTCCCAGAGGGTTCACATTGGCAGTTCTTGCCGAATATGCCAAATATTCCTCCACATACCGAGACGCATATCGGTTTCAAATCGGTCTCTGTAGGCACGGAAGTTTGGGCGATTGCACAAAATGGCATCGTTTGTAAACGTTGTGGTATAACCAAGGAGAATCCAGCAGGTGCCGGTTGGAATTTAGGCATACCGGTATGCAATTTAACAATTTCCTAAACAATTTAATTCAAAATTTTGTTTTTCAGGGTCAATGGCAGCATATTTCATTGGAAAGCTTTTCATAATACCTAGCCTAAAACCTATTAAAACTATCTCCAAAAATGCAGTGTTCCATAATTTTCCATTTTAATAGAAGTATTTTACTTTTAAGCAGCACCACATTCTTGCTTTATTAGCTAAAAGTATAATTCACTTAGCTTATTTTTATTGAAAACATTCTATTATATCATTCCATGGCAGCATTATCTGTTTATTTAAGGCTGCGATATTTTTAAGTTATAATAGTACCTTTTTTATTTAAATCATAAGACTCAAAAGAATTTTACTCCATTCATATTACGGAAGTTCTGTCAATGCTAATTAAAATTTAAAAACTCAAAACGTTTTTTTATGAGCCTTAAAAGCCCGTACATACTTTCTGTGAACGCATTCCAGTAAAATCTGCCTTCTTCGTACCCATTTCCCTTGGCAATTATATTTAGGTAAAATACCCCTCTGAGTTACATGTATGTATGTTTCTACTTATCAAACCTAGAAAATGCACTTGAATTACTTAGTTATATTAATAATGATATTTCAAGTTTACATAAATGAAATAAGTATCACAGTACCCAGCCCATAGAAACAAGTTTATTTCGTATCGCCCTCTTCATCATTGTCAATGGCCAGTTAATTTTTCCCAGACAGATATAGCATTTTTTAATAAAAAATTTAATTTAAGAACAAAAAACTTAAAAATTTTGAAACTCCTACCTTTCTTCCGGTAATGTTGTCTTTAGAGTTTCTTCTGTTGCACCCTCTTCTGTCATTTGAGAAGTTGTTTCTTTAACTCTTGCCGAAGTTGCTTTTATATTTTGTTGAACAGATTATTATTTCACCATGATTTTGTTGAAAAGTTGTCGTGTAGTCTTCTACAGATTCGTCTTTTGTCGTGTTTGTTTCGTCTGTTGTCGTCTATATTATTTTATTGAAGAACTGTCGTTTCTTCTACAGTTTCCCCTGTTGTCGTTTTGGTTTCGTCTGTTGTCGTCTCCATCGAGGTATTATTTTGTTGAAGAATTGTCGTTCCTCTCCTACCGTTTCCTCTGTTGTCATTTTAGTTGCTCTTTCATCTGCTGTGGTCCGAGTCTCCCGAGGCAGACGAAGCTCTGTCTCATCCACGTCTGGTGGTTGTATTCCCAGAACGGTATTCACAGGTCGAGAGTCATTATAACTCGAGACTGACTCGCTGTGAATGCCGTTCAAGGCGTCTCGGTAAGCTGTCGGGTCCAGAGGTTGTTTTATGAGCCTCTGGATTTCGTCCGTCAGTTCATATAGATACCTTCTGACATGCCGTGGCGAGGGTTCTTCCGCAAGCAGATGTCTGTTCGGGTGCACACGACGATGATACCCTACTAGGAATTTCTTGCAGAGCATTGTGTTTAGCTCTTTAATCGTGAGCATATGGGCCTCGTCGTGCAGGTGATGTTGCGGCGACATCAGAAGGCATACTGTCGCTGTCCTGAGTGCCATGTTTTGGCAGGCCTGCAGCTTCATCCACTGCGTCCTACTAGTCCCCCGCGTCCACACAGGCGCTGCATAGTTCAGAACCGGCCGGCTAATTTCCTTGTACACTGCCAACAGGTTCTGCCGGCAAGCGACTTGAGGATCTTGTTGCGGCTTTGTACTTTATTGACAATTGAGGTTGTATGCGCCGTGAAGCAGAGCAAAATGTCGAAGGTAAGTCCGACCTCCTTCGTCCAAGTAGTGAATGGCGTGGCTGAGGATTTTTTATGGGAGATGGTTAGGCTCCTTGCAGTGAAGAAGCGAGAAGGCTCGGAAAGATAACCGTTTACTTTCGAGAAAAAGAGATATTCAGGGGGTAGAGCAATGATGCTACAACAGGCTCCTAAACCATGTGGAGTCATTGGTCATAGTTATTTGCACAAACAGACAATGGTCCTCATGCATAAAGAGTGAGCTTAATTTTCGCACTGATGGAGTGGATTTGTACTGAAAATTGAGTAGAAGCATCAGCTTACTGCCATCCCTAAATTGGCGCGTCAAGCGCCAAGCAACTGTCAAAAATCCTCATGCCCATACAATTTGTATGAACCATCCCACAATAACGCGGCGCTAACGCCGAGTAAATGGAATTTTCATTTTTGACAGGGCGTTACGTGCTGAAGTTGGATGCAGAAGACGAAGAGAAAGAGAAAGGACAAAAAAGTGAAAGAGGAAACGAGAATAAAAACGAGAGGACCTGAGAAAACGTCAAAATTGACGACGCGTTGATTTGGGTATAGCGCGCGATGACACTCGTTGACAATGGATAACGCAACGCTTAGCGCTCCAATTTAGGGACGGCAGTTACTTTTTGTAAATGAGGCGCAATATTTCTTTCGGAATTGACGTACCTTCGCAGTCGGGTCTACGTAACCGGAACGACCCAGATTCCCACGACAGCCGGTTCTACGTACCGGAATGACTCGGGTTTTACCCGACCAAGGGCTGTTGTTTCGGCGATCTAACCCCGTCTAGATCGGCGATACCCATTAATCATTATCCGTCCATGGAGCAATACCTTGCAGCCGGATTGCTCCGCATCCTTCTTCTCCGGGCGGGCGTAGAGCCCAACCCCGGACCTGAAATTTACTTCTGCTGTGTTTGCCAGAATCGACTCCACCCGAACTCCACTTCGGTTAGGTGCAACTCCTGCAACGGGTGGAGTCACCTAAGAACCTGCTCTGGCCTTAGGTCTCACCGGGAGTGGACCACAAACTTTGTGGCTCCCTGTTGCTCAAGCCAAATGGCACAATCAGCCTCCACGGCTACCCACTCGCGTAATGCACGGGTGCGACCTAGCACCCGAAGAGCCTGCACGGCCCCTAGAAGCTCCCCTGAGCAACAGCAAACCTCCCAACACACCCCTCCCACACAACCTACCGGCCGGTCCCACTCGCGAGCGCGAGCCAACCAGCAGCTACTGGTTGCCCACACCATCTGCTCCGTGTGCCAGAACAGAATATACCGGAATGTGACATCAGTCAAATGCAACACATGCCTTGGCTGGTGCCACTTCCGGCTATGTTCTGGTCTACGCACCACTCGCGAATGGACTACAAACTACAGCGCCCCTTGCTGTAGTGCACCGCCGACGCAGACAACAACGCCCATATCGCAGCCACCTACCATCAGGCTGCAACAGCAACTGCGTCAGGCGCAACAGGCCCAAGGTAGGCCCCACACTTCTCTGACTCCCCGTATCGCGACCAGCCTCCCAAGGCACATGAACGTACTCCAACTCAACTGCAACGGACTCCAGAGCAAGATTGAGGAGATAGCAGTCTTCATGGGTCGGCACGGCATATTGATAGCTGCGGTCCAAGAAACGAAGTTGCACAGCAACTCAACTCTGTTGGGTTGCGCCGCCTACAATGTGCTCCGTAAAGATCGCGAGCGAGATAATGGTGGTGGACTAGCGTTCATTCTACACCACACAGTGCAGTATCGGCTAATCGAAGAAGACATCGACCCAAGGGACACTACCCTAGAATGTCAGGGCATAGCTGTCCGGTCAGGCGATGTCGAGCTCGAAATATTTAACGTGTACATACCCCCTGTCACCTACTGCCCGGCTGGATATCTCCCTGACATAGGTGCGCTACTCAGAGGCGAAAACTGATTGGTAGTAGGTGACTTCAATGCGCACCACGATCTTTGGCACTCAAGCCTGGCCAATGATCGGAGGGGAAACAGTTTGGCTGAGCAGATAGACGATTCGACATTCTGCACCATGAACGACGACGCCCCCACCAGGATTGTGGGCAGCTGCAGCAGCTCGCCAGACCTAACAATTGCTAGCGCTGGTCTGATAAATAGCATATCATGGCGACCTATGCTAACGTTAGCATCAGACCATCTGCCCATAATCATCTCGATCAATAAGCCCACCGACTTTGCTCCCGCGGATCACCGAACCTACACCAACTTCAACAAAGCTGATTGGAACGGCTTCGCGGAAGTTGCCGAGAGCAGCTTCGCCGCCCTCCCCACACCCACAGACGTACATGCTGGCGAACGCCAGTTCCGCAAGGTAGTCACAGCCGCAGCAGCTCGCTTCATACCGTCCGGACGCATCGCGGAAGTCCGCCCAAATTTCCCGGCTGAAGCAGCTGTACTAGCAAATGAGCGTGACCACCTACGCCAGGTCGACCCCGGGGACCCTCGCTGGAGGGAACTTAATTTGGAGATTCGGCAACTGGTAAATCAACACAAGCGGACAAAGTGGGAAGAGCACTTGAAGGCCTGTAACTTCACCTCTGGTGTGAGTAAGCTCTGGTCAACCGTGAGGTCCTTGTCCAACCCGACGAAGCGTGATGACAGAGTGGAAATTTCATTCGAAGGTCACGCCTCATCGGACCCGAAGAAATGCGCGAACTATTTCAGTCGGCAATTCACACTGCATCCTTCGGTAGACAAGGCCAAACGTCGAGTGACCAGGAGGCTGCACAAACTGCCCAAAAACGATGCACCACTTGTTTTCACCAGCGGTGAAGTAAAGGGGGCCATCGGGAAGGCGAAAGCCTCCAAAGCCATTGGACCCGACGGAATCTGTATGCTGATGTTGAAACATTTGGGGCCTGTGGGGGTAGCATACCTCACGGAGGTCCTCAATTTGTCTATGACCACTCTCATCATTCCTGATGTGTGGAAATCAGGGAGAGTGGTCCCACTGCTGAAACCGGGGAAGCCCGCCAACAGAGGAGACTCTTATCGCCCGATAACGCTCCTTTCCCCGGTCGCGAAGACACTTGAGGCCCTGCTGCTCCCATACTTCACCTGCCACCTAACCCCAACGAAACATCAGCATGGCTTCCGTAAAGTGCACAGCACAACAACAGCACTTAACGCCATAAACACCCAGATAACCCGCGGCCTAAATCGAAACCGCCCCTGTGAGAGAACTGTCCTAGTAGCGCTGGACTTGTCAAAGGCGTTTGACACCGTCTGCCATTCCACGCTGCTAGAAGACATTGAGGCCTCCTCTCTCCCACAGGGACTGAAGCGATGGTCGGCGAATTATATGAGTGGTCGGCAATCATCAGTAATCTTCAGAGATCAAACCTCGAAACCTAGAAGAATAAAACAAGGGGTTCCACAAGGTGGTGTTCTCTCCCCCTTACTTTTTAACTTCTATATCTCGAAACTCCCCCAGCCACCTGAAGGAGTTTCCCCGATCTCCTACGCTGATGACTGTTCGATTTTGGCGTCTGGGAATGGAATTGATGACCTCTGCTCAAAAGTAAACGGCTATCTCTCCAGCCTTTCTCGCTTCTTCACAGCAAGGAGCCTAACCCTCTCCCCAACGAAATCAACGGCGACCCTCTTCACCACCTGGACGAAGGAGGTCAGGCTTGAATTAGGCATTCACGTCGACGGCACACCAATACCGACGGTGAACAACCCGAAAATTTTAGGGGTTACCTTTGATAGCCTGCTCTCTTTCTCCGCGCACACAACCGCAGTTGTCAACAAAGTACAGAGCCGCAACAAGGTCCTCAAGTCGCTCGCCGGCAGCACTTGGGGCAAAGACAGAGAAACGTTGTTGGCAACATACAAGGCAATTGGCCGGCCGGTTCTAAATTATGTTGCGCCAGTTTGGACGCCGGGGACTAGTTGGACGCAGTGGACGAAGCTACAGACTTGTCAGAACGCCGCACTCCGGACAGCGACTGGGTGCCTTCTGATGACGCCTGAGCATCACCTACACAGTGAGGCCCAAGTGCTCCCCGTAAGGGAACACAACAAGATGCTCTGTAAGCAGTTTCTTGTGGGGTGTCACAGAAGTGAACACCCCAACAGACCACTGCTGGAGGAGGAGCCTCCGCCCAGGCACGTCAGGGGGCACCTATTCATGTACAAGGACGCAGTCCAGACCTACACAGACCAACCACTAGAACCAATGACGTACAGACGAGCGATTAACGACATTCATAGGGAGTCTGTCTCCACCTACCTCGACTCCCGGCCTAGGAATGTCGTTATCGGAGCCCAATCACCACCTGTGGAAGAGACGGAGCTTCAGTTACCTAGAGAGACCCGCGTTACCCTGGCTCAGTTACGGTCTGGATATTGTAGCCGCCTAAACAGCTACCTGTCCAGACTCGACCCAAACATCCCAAATGAGTGCCCGGCATGTGGAGACTCCCCCCACGACACCAACCACCTCTTCACATGCCAGCTCAATCCGACTCAACTAACACCTCACTCCCTTTGGTCCGACCCCATCGAAACAGCTCGTTTCCTGGGCCTACCGTTAGTTGAGCTTGACGATAATGATTAAAAGTTGACCCGAAACAGGCGGGGCTTAGTAGTGCCGCTACAACAACAACAACAACCCAGATTTACATCTGGCCAAGGACTGTCACTCCAGCAACACTCCCCAAAAACTCTTTGGAGAATCTGTATGCTGTTACAACAACAACAGCAACCAAAAATAGATACGAAAACGCAGTTTACTAGGCAAAATCTTCCAGAGTCTGAAGACTGTTTGCTAAATAGCGCCTTACAACAGTCAGGGAGGTTCTGCAATTCACTTCCGAGTGAATTTCAACCCCTGCCAATTTGAATTCTACGCGAATCCGACTCAAATTCACTCGGAAGTGAATTGCAGATCCTGCCTGAGTGTTACAACTTTGCTGCAAAAGAATACTGTGGCGAATACTGCGGCAACACAAAGCGAACAACGAGAAATAGGCA